GTAACTTGAAAAATCAAAACAACCTCTTGCTTGGTCACTTCAGAAAGGTCCTCAACAACTCACTCAAAAACCTGTAACCTTTTTATTTCCTACAAATTCAAATATTGCATCCAACCTGCGCATCATTCAACGTATGTCCAAACATTCATGCTTGCGTGTGAGATCGAGGCCAATAACAGTATATTATTGTTAACTCTCCCTAACTTACATTTACCTTGCAGCATCAGATCATACTATCATCTTCAAGATGACGGAAAGAGAAAGATCAGCTGCCGAAATGGAGGCGATCAAGCAAGCTATGATGGTAAGCTCTGGCGTACTTGTTCCCCTTTTTATATCACACTGTGTTGCTATATGCTTCAACGTTCTAATCCTTTTGTTTGGCAGGAAGAGCTTGGTATTGGTCGCAGAGATGCCTTGCCACTCGAAGATCGAGCTGCTAACATTCCAATGGTACCATTGTCATTCGTCAACAGACAAGTTGAACCAGAGCACCCTGCATCCGCTTGGTATAGTAAGTTTCATGTCCAGAAAGCTGTTCCTCGATCTGTCTGCATGCTGACTTGTCTTTTTAGATCTCAATCTCGACGACGTCGATCCTGGCGTTGAAGACCTTGACGATATTGCCGGTGGACAATTATATCGACTTCGTAGAGGTGGTATTGGACTAATCAGCGGTGGTAGAGGTGGCCTTCCTGCAGGTCGCGGTCGAGGTGGTGATTTAAACAGAGGTGGTGATGCATATGTGGGTGGTCGCGAAAATCTTGCAGCAAGTGGTAAAAATACTGGTGACTCTGGTTCCGGGTATGTATTTCCTGCAAATTGTAAAGCCACATTAAATGTTCGTTTCGAACTAACAAGTCACCAGCCAAACTCACTCCAACGACGTAAGAAGTCGTGGCAAATCACATGCTAAAGTCGATGCTGGCATTGCTCGTTTACAACGCGAGGCTGAGTTCAGCAGAAAGAATCGAACTGAAGGCCGCTCTTTCAAGACGCCTCAGTCGACTTCCAAATCTAAAAAGCCAGTTCACCGAGCTGCGTCTCCTGTAGTCGCTCGTGCTGCTCCTCCGCTAGCAGATCGACTTGTCAATTCGAGGTTCAAGCTCACCAGTCCTGCAACCTTTCTTTCGCACAATAATATCGGCTCTAGCCCAGTTACAACAGCTCCCGAACCTATTATTTCTGCACCGCAAAACAAAGTCAACGATGATCTTTTGGTACCACCATCAGCTTCTAAATTGGCACCCCAAGGTGGCCTTGCGGCTTCAAGGTGGGCATCGCCTTCAACTCAACTTGTCGACATATCTGGATCAGATGATCTCAGTCGATCTCCTACACATGCCAATACTGCAAGCGCCTCGGCGTCAAGCCCCTCTGTTCAGCAAGTCGTACCTGCCGTTACCACTAGCGCTTCAATGTCGATTTGTTCTGCTCAGCAGATCATGCCCATTCTTAGTGCAAACACATCAGAGTCTGACCATCCTGTTCGATTGGCACCACCAGCAATGTCAACAAATGCTTCCGAGCTGACCGATACTGTTCAATATGCTACTGTTGCCCCCCTCTTGACTTTATTAACAGATAATGTAACGAACTTCCCCACACCAGTTGTTGTTCGCACTTTAGTCATTGAGAAACTTGTCAAAGTTTGCAAGAACGATAGTACTTTCAAACTCGGAACTGCAAGACTCATCAAACTCGATGAAAAATCTCCTTTGACCCTCGAAGTTCAAGTTGGCAATGAGGTTATTCTGAGCGAGTTACTGTCAGAGGCTGCGATATTCAAAGTCGATATGAAGGATGGGAAACCTGGAAACATTGTCACATATCGGGCCAATCCTACAACAGAAAATATACCCACCTGGAAGTTATGTTTTCAGCTGCCTGGTACAGCAAAGAGTTTTGTTAATTATTATAGTTTCAGACTCTCAGAGTTGAGACGTAGCGGCGGCTCTTCTCACTCCTCAGAACAAGAAAGCCAGGATCCACTCGTACTTTTTTCCCCCGTTTCATCACCGGCAGAGAAAAAGTTGACCGATGCTGAAAAGAGTTATCTTACCACCAGAATCAGCAGTTCTACATTTGCTGATCTTACTTTGATTGATAGCGAAGAGATTCTAGTCCCACTCCATGAAGAGGAATACATAGCTGAGGATAATCAAGATGAAGAGTATTCCCACTTTCAGGATCTTTTGAGCTTAATGGAAGGGGGTATTGTTGAAGGAACACTTCAGGTTCTGAATGCCAATCACGGCGGTTCTTTTTATGACCACGTTTTTCACTTGACCAAAAACGTAGGACTTGAGAACGATGCGTATTTCATGAAACATGCCAAAAATGTTTTCATTGGCGGACTGTCATCCTCTCGTTACTCAAGCTCAAAGCCCATCTTGTCAGTCACCGAAGGACTTGTTTCGGACTTTTTAACAAGATCTGAAACATTGTTACGATTTCCTCAGGAGTTTATTGATGCCTACATCAAGAAAATAGCCAAAAAAATCCTCGACATGGCTCAAAATTTTCATAACGGTACTCATTCGGCGACTGCCATCCCCGCTGAGAAATCTAGTTCGGTCGAGGCTATCGAGCTGACTGAACTCTCTGAAATCGTTGCTGTTGCCAAGCCTGTGGAGCCTCTTCAAATTGTTGAAGCTACCAAGTCCACCGAGGCTATCAACACTATCCAAGCTGCCAAGCCTGCTGAAGTCATCGAGAATGTTATTCTCAAACCTGAACGAGTGGTTTATTCGATCCAGGAAATGATGGAGATGCGACAAAATGCCACCTTGACCAGTGAAGTACTCACTGCAAGAAACTGTGTAGAAAAGTACCTCCCTGGACACAAGCCACAATACAAGAACTCACTCAGAGCAACTGCCACAAAACTCCAATCTTCTGAATGGAAGACAAATTTTGGCAGCAAAGTTATCTTTGATGAAGCTTCACAGACTCTTCGACAGGATGAGCATGCACCAGGAAAGACCAGCGTTGTAGCCTCATCAGGCGCCGCTAATCCTTCAGAGTCTGCTGGTGTAAAGCATGAAACACCAATCAACGCCAGCAAGAGCCTCTCCTCCGCAGGCGATGATATTGAAGGCATCGAAAATGATTTGACTCTATCTATTTCTGCTGGAAATAATGTCCAAAAGCCATCAGTTGATACTCATCACCAGGGCAACTCTGACAAAACTAGTGGAACATACTCTGTCGCTTCTCAACCTGCTACTCGTGGTTCATCCAAGAGTTTGTCCGCAGTCAATGAAAACAAAGCAGAAGACAAGATGGACTCTGGAAGCGGCAATAGTCCTCCCAAGCTTCCATCAAACAGAGGTCTGAGCACTTCTAGGTATGCTAGGCCAGATGTCATTAATCAAGCAGCCGTCCTTCGTGCTTCGTCTGGTTACAACCCTACCGCACGTCAATTTGTCAAGAGACAAGAATATCTACCCCCTAAGCCGCGAGAAACTTTGGCCAAAGTTGAAAGCTCCGAGGTCCCGAAGAATGAATCTGAAGGTATTGTTTCCACCTCCGAAATTGAAAAGTCTAAGTCTCAAGAGACTGATTCAAACAATCTCGCCAAGGTCATGACGACTGAAATGAATGTACTCAAGGCAGTAGAACAGGGTACTCTTAGAAGTAAGCATACTGTGACAAACTCAGACGTCGAAAGACTCGCCCAAGTTTTTAGTGATTTGGTCGTTAAGGCTGAGAAGGATCATGGCACAGTGGCCGACGTTTCACCGGTTCCAGAGCGCAGTACTAGCCCTACAGTTGAAGAACTTCTCCAAAAGAAGCGCGCGAGTGGATTAGCAACGTCTAGATGGGCAAGCCAGGCTCCTGTTTCGAAACGCTCATCTCGCACTGGACTCTCAACTCCGACGACGAGCTACAGTCAGTTGACATCGAGCATGCCGCAAGATAACAGATTGTTTTCTCCTCAGAGCGCCGTAGCTATCACATCATCTCACCCATTCCCTCCCAGATCCAACATGTTGAATGGAAGACCTGCCGGTACAGATAGCGATGATGTGCTGAAGGCTACTGCGCCAGTTTTCACACCTTCCCCCCAGAAGAATGAGAGTACTGTCAGCAGACCAGTCTTATCCCCAGTCCGCAATCGTCAGAATCCGCAGCAAGACGCCGTTCAGGCCAGACTCAACAAGAGCTTGGCATCAAAGCGAATGTAGGATAAATCTGGTAAGGTAGCGATATATTAATTGTAAATGCATTTTAACGAGGTTTGGAGAACGAATAAGGGAGTCTCCCTGGCATAGCGAAGACTACCAAAGGAAATTTTATAGCATTTTCAAAGATAGATCGAATACCAGATATACCAGCGGAACACTTTGTTGCATCTTGATCGTGAAACCTTCTCCCCTTGTGAACTGTATCTTCTTGGATCTTCCTACCCATAATGTCCTAGTTCTTCGGCACCTAGTGATCACAGTACCAATAATGGCCATGTAATATTAGATTCACATCTACAATTGCGTGATACAGAGACGAAAAAGTTGGATAATCAAGTCTTTGTAAATCTTGCTAGCGAGGCTCTCTCTTAGTGCCCCTAGGACCCCCGCAATAAATAGATTGAGTCTTAGTGACTTTTAGAGGAACCATATATTTACTTTGAACTTATCATGTTACAGAGAGCCGGAAGCTTGCGGTATCTATGGTGTTTTGATATGTTTATTAGGGTAAAACTTCGGTTTGTGAATAGAAAAGGTATGGAGACGGAGATGAAAAATGGGAAGTGGATTTGTGTGTTGAGGGCGGAGAAGGAGTAGGGGAGTATGGTAGTATAGGGTGTGAGATGAATGGAGTGTGTTGGTGTGGAGGGGTTGTGGATGGGGTTATGATGAGGATGGGGATGATGGGTTGAGTTGAGTTGAGTTGAGTTGGGTGAAGTGAGTTGGGTGAAGTGAGGACTGGGTTGGTATGGATTTGGAATTTGAAGGGGATGATACGTTATGGCTGTCTTTTGAGGCTCATTACCGACGATGAATGGGACGACGTTGCATGTAAGAACAGAGATCTATTTTGTCGTCTATCTCCTCATTTTGTTTTCTTGCTAAATTCCCACGCTATGCTAGGGCAATCTCACGGGGGCCCCAATTCTCGATCAATCAAGCTCCGCAGCTTTTGTTTTTGCGGTCCTCGTGTACGGGTAGGTCTATGTTAATGTATAGAGCGAATTCACATTATCTCTATAAAAAGGGTATAGGGTTTCACCCTCTGAGGTATCAGAGTCTGAATGAGGGTTTGGGTATGGCGGTAGCTGTGATACCTGCTGGTGTCACAATTGCATTGGTTGTAAGTATGATAGGACAATTTTGGTACACCTGGTTACAAGGAGGTCGTATTTTAGGATTTGATCAAGAAGGTCAAGAAGATGGTTCGTGAAGGTAAGATGGATTTGCTACAGGCGAGATTTTTAAACGAGAGAAAAGGACAGCTCATTGCTATCTTCTTCGATCAGGATCTTCAGTATTGAGTCTCCAGACTCTACGTTGAACGTTTCCAGATTCTGTAAATGTCTGCTTTTAGAGTCAATACTTGACCGCGAAGCAGTGTAGCATCTGCAAAAACCTTGCAAACAGAATTTTTGCAAGGAATGCCAACTACTGCACCTTCTAGACTCGATGTTTCCTATCTTGTTTTCTCATGGGTTTCTGCGTGCACCTTGCACCGTATTGTCCACCGGTTGCTTCTATTGCATGTAACGTTGGTGTAGAAGTGACGAATGAAGTGATTTATGTTTGAGAAATTCGAATATACCTAGGTCTGGGAGGCCCACTCAGATGAGTTTTCGGTCTCTCCTTTTCCGTCTAACCGTAAATCGAAAGGGTGGCAAATATACCACCTAACTAACAGTGAACCCTGTCTAAAAAGCACAAAAGTTGAATCCATCGATTGGTACGAGTAGATATATCTTCCAATATCCTTATAAGTCGTGCATCCTCAGAACGAAGAATTCCATCAGCCACAAAATAGCGTTGAGCCCATGCTGCTGACTCTACCTAGGTAGTGGTGGCTAATCAATCTATGAGATAACCTTATATGGAATTAATTGATTCAGGAGGAGTGGTCATCGGTCCAAAATTAGTAAATATCGTACCGTAGATCTTCCTCTGTGCAAGAATAGGTGATGATCCCATTAGTAGGAACTCGAAGGAAGCTGATGATCTTAGAATAGATTAAGATTTCACATTGTAAATACCGGTACATGTAGTAAGTTAGCCATCATATGCAACAAGACAAGTTCATTCCTTACCTCACCTCCCTAGTAGATATACCAAGAAAGCGAACGCTAGAAGTAGAAGCACCACTCATAAAGGCTGGAGTAATATCGGATTAAAATGCTTGCTTGCTTGCAGCTCTTTGCAGCCCATTTTGTGGGGACGAATGGTTGCACAGCACGTGTGAAGACAGGCCTAACTTGCAGGTTCTCTCGAGTATGCCTCCCGTCTGCTTCTTTATGAAGACTTTTTCTTTTTTTATGATCGAAATTGGAATAGGATGGATGAACGAAGACGAACTCGAGTAGGCAGTTAACCATCTAGTAGATACTAGGATCGATACTAACCAGCTTAGTACGGCTCTTTGTGAACTCACTTAGTATCTAACTTATATCAAATATCTTGTAAATGTAATGTGATGATACAACATTACGGAGTATACTCAAACACAATATAAACCTTAACCCTTGGAACTTTCACAATTACACTCTTTTTACACAGAGGTATTTTTTTATATGTTGTGCTGACACTGGGAACACTTCATTTTTGCTGCTGTGTAATTGTGTTAGCGTCGGAGCTATTATAGCGCCTATTTTGTAGTCTTTGGTTACCCGAATCCATCAACGATCCTCGATTACTTTCTTACATCTTCAAGAAAGCAATCTGCGTCTTTCATACATCAAATATTCTTCTCGAAAAAGCCAGTAATTAGAGTGCCACTCAGACTGGAAGCAAAATTGTATCACTTTTTTTCTACGGCGAAGATGAACGTTTTGCTTCCAACTCAAGCGTCGTTCTTTTCATCACCTCACCGTAACCCCATTCATACTCCAAGTAAGGAACCCCCCTTTTGGGTCTATTCTCACATTTAATATTGACCACGATTTATAGTCTCTCCGCACACAAACCTCAGAATGGGCAGTCGAAAACGAAAAGCCGATGACGATGGACTCGATGACAAGATGTCTATTTCTCCTACCAATAGCCCCGCCCTGGCCACACGACAAATCCCCCGACCCTCCAAGAAAGTTCGAGCCAACGAAATTACCGGCCGACCTCTTAACCTCCCCCGTCTTCTCGAAACCCTAGATGCTCAGTCATTGAGAGCGGTTCTCCAAACCATATGCGAAAGACACCCAGAGATCGGCTCGGAAATTGTCACTTCAGCACCCAGACCATCTGTAGAATCCACTCTTGGCGTCCTTCACAAATATCAAAACGAATTGCAAGAAGCTTTCCCTTACGGCGGCAGTCCTGGATCGGATTATGCCTACGATCGAGTGAAGCAACAACTCACAAATCTTATTGATGCTTTAGTCGATTTCACACCGCATTACCTCCCACCGAACGAACACCAAACCGCTACTTCTCTCAGCTTCCTCGATAGTGCCACCAAAATTGTTCATGATCTTCCGAACTGGGATAGCCAGTCTCATAAACATCACAAAGACAATGCGTATGACGAAATTTCAAGGGCGTGGGCTTTAGTGATTAGTGAAGCCTCCAAGCGTGGGGGAGGATTCCAACTTCATTCTGGTGGATGGGACCAAAGACTTGCTAGGCATAATGATCAGAGCGGAGGAAAGATGCAGATGGCAGTCGATGCACTCGGTACAAACCTTGGTTGGATGGGAGGTAGCTCTGGAGATCCAGATTCTATCCGCAATCAACTCCTTTCAGGTCGCTATGGTGCTAATCAGAGTGTACCAGTAGGAGCTCGCTGGTAGACTCAAATCATATTTTCTTGGTTCGGGTCATTTTGATACTGGGAGTGTTCGTACATATGGGATAGAGGAGGTCATATCAATTGATCGATGAGTCTTAGGGGCATTAGAGGGACTTTCACCGCACAGGCGTCTTGTGTTAATCATGGTCATCGACAAACGGCAATAATCACGAAGATTACGAAGATTCCCATTTTCCTTTCACTGTCCATCTGGAAGCATGGTTGGGGAGTTATGGTACTTGAGGAATAGGGTTTTTTCATTTGTACGTTTGTGGAGGAAACTTTGGTGGTGGCAATAATTCCAATAGGCGTAATTCATTTGACATTTGCACTTTAGTAACATAGGGAGAATGGTCAGTATTTTGAGACCATTCAATACCATAACAATCTGAAATTCCAAATTTTTATTATTTAATATGACCGTGAGAGCCAATTGCCAACCGCATCATTTATCTACACGTGACACCGTGGATTTAGCGTGTATTAATGATGTATGACGCGACTTTGAGCTCCGTCGCCATCATCAACAATACAATACACTACTAATTTTGTCGCGACATAACACCATAGTCAATTCACTTTCCAGCCCCTATGAAGTTTGACAAGTAAACGATTGCTGAGCTTTAATTATCATAATGCCTGCGTACGTATCTTTGATGGAGTATCTCGCCGTAACAACTAACAATTCTCAGTCCAGGCGAACAGCATGGTGGACGAGCGATCGCGAACCCATTCGAAGAGGTTAAACCGCGCATATCAGAATACACAGCACAAGAAATTGCTACATTACAAAGTAGACTAGAGAAGCAACTAGGGCCCGAATATATCTCATCGCGAGCAGGACCGTCGGGACATAAGGTACATTATATCACAGCGGAGAAATGTATTCAGCTTGCCAACGAGGTATTCGGATTCAATGGCTGGTCGAGTCAGATCATCGAGACACAAGTAGACTTTGTGGATGAAAATGCTACGACTTTGAAAGTTAGTTTAGGACTCTCGGTCATTGTTAGAGTTACGTTGAAGGATGGTACTTTTCATGAAGATGTGGGGTATGGACATATTGAGAATTGTAAAGGCAAGGCGGCGGCGTTCGAGAAGGCAAAAAAGGAGGGGACCACGGATGGGTTGAAGAGGGCATTGAGAAATTTCGGGAATGTGTTGGGTAATTGCATCTATGATAAGGATTATCTGGCCAAGGTTACGAAGATTAAGGTCCAACCTGTCAAGTGGGATGTCGAGAATCTACACAGACACTCAACGTTTACTCCACAAGTAGTCGCGAAGAAAGAGATTGATGCACCAAAGGTCGCGGAAAAGGCTCAGGGTCCTGGACCGACGAGTACAAGCTTATCAGGTATGTTTTGAAAATGTGGTGGCGAAATACACAACTGACGATCGAATTAGGCGATGACACATTGATAGGAGACGATGAGTTCGGAGGTATAAAGGATACTAATTACGTAAAATAGATTATTGCTGATGATTTCCAGATTTCGACGATGCCGATTTCAACGTTGCAGATCCCAATGCTCACCCAGATGAAGTCGCACTTCCTCCCCCACGAACTGGTTCACACCATTTCAACAATGCCAGAAACAGTAACAATGCGCCCTCGGGGAATACAGGGCCACCAAACCAGAGTCGCACTTCTGGCCCCTCGGGACCTCCAGTTCCAATAATCAAGAGTGGTCCGTTAGTTCAACCAAATCGACCACCAGAAGCTGGTGAACCAATCATCACTCGCAATAGTCATCCTCCACCGGCACCAAGAACACCCAATGCAGGTCTCGCAAGATCTATTAGCGCAACAGGACCTATTGTTCGCGCTCCTCAAGACTTAGTCCAACCAAACCGTCCTACTAACCTTGTTAACGCATTTCCTGGCCGCGTTTTAAACCAGCCCAATAGACCTCAACCTCAACCCCAAACAGCATCCGGTCCCCCATCTCCATCTCGCAACAATGACATAACCGATGAAATGCCCCCACCAGGGGCTGGTTTTACTTCTGCTCGCGCTGCATCTCTCCTACCCCAAGAACACACACCCTCCCAAGCCCCCCCTGCGAACCTCAACCTCCCTGCTTTCAACCCCAACCTCGAATCCCCATCTATCCGGCGTACCCCAGGCGTTGATCAAAGATCCTCCAAACCACTTTCTCGCGACTTGAAACCCATTCCTGCGTCTCAGGCTCAAGCTCCTACTACTGGTCCACCACAAGCGCAGCCAGCTTCTCGTCCAGTTGTCGCTGGAAATGGGAATATGAATTTGGGAAATCCACAATTAGATACCACGAGAAGAATTGGTGCGCCTGGTAGCCCGAGTCCGATGAATATGGGTAATAGGAATAGTTATAAACCGCCTACGATGATGAAAAGGCCGATGCCGGAAGCGAATAGAGCTCCGCTAATGGATCTACAGACGAATGGGAGTGGAATGGCGGGGGATGAGCATGGGAATGGGGATGCGAAGAGACAGAGGTTGAATGGGATGTAGATTTCGAAGTACATACAGCTGTAGTAGGACGAAACACGTATATGAGGCATCGATGGAGCTGAGGATGTGATGATGAAAATAGCAGTTGATTGGTAACAGAGGCGTTATGATGGGTCGAAGGATGGGCTGGAAAGGAATGGAGTGGACATGCCCAGCAAGGCACTTTTCATAATGACGGGATTTGTCTATATATGGAGTTCGCTGGGTATTCTTGTACATTGGGCAAGCACACTTTTGCGCTCACTTGCTTGTTGGTAGCCGATCATGGCTAAATTATGGATTCATTAGGTTGTGCTGTTGAAAGTGCTTTAAGATATCATAGGGCATGTTTATTTGCAGAATTCATATCATGTTATAGGTGCTTAGTCTGACTGATCGATTATGAACGTTTTATTCTCATGCTCACTTGTTGTAGATATGAATGGGGATTGATAAGGCTGAAATAACTCTTACCGAGCGCGACAAGGGGGTGGAATTCGGTTATGCCAATACCAGCACTTAAGTGCGGTAGTAAGCTTGATGATAACAAGGCAAATTTGTATTTGTCAACATGCACAATGTCATCCACAAGATCATTTCAGATAAATTCAAGGCAATGAAGTACTGAAAATGCTCGCCGATATTCAAATTCCGCTTGCTTTTTGACTCACAAGGTGCCCAGTGTGTTATGTATAAAATATGCTCCAAAGGAAGAATAGTTTCTTTGACGAACTCTACATATAATCGACCAACGCCATCACGCCCAAACACCAACCATGCATGTTTTCGATGTATGACCGCCCCCAACCTCTCCCCAATGCCCTCTTCCAGTCTGGCCTTTATTTAACGATCAGTACAGCAGAAGGAATCAACCCAGCCTCCTTCAAAGTTTTCCCGAAATCGACTGGACCTTCAAAGGTCTTCTTTGGGTAGGTCATGGTGAAACTAGTCACCGAACCGAGCTCGGCCTCGAGTTGCTGTGAGATTTCAAAGAGGGTGGTGTCGACCGGGTAGGTCTTTGTCATGACCCCAGTAGCTGTTTGTAATCTCAATCGAGATTCTGTGTGAACTTTTGGGGCGCCAGATGAAGCTGCTGGCGCCGCTACTGGTGCAGCTGCTGGTACTGGGGGAGCACGGCCTTCGCGAAGAGCTTTGGCAGCTTCGGCCTTCAAGCGACGTTCCTCCTTATCGGCGGCGATCTTCTCTTGGATGCGCTTCTTGGCTTGAACATCAGCGGCTTTCTCGGCACGTTTGGCTTGTGCCTCCTTGATCTGTTGGTCCTTTGCGAGCTTCTCTTTGGCATCCGAGACTTCCTTTGTGGACTTCATGCGAATTTGCTGTGGAGAATAACATATTAGTGTAATGCGGGGCAGATAGATGTGGATGTAGAGGGGCAGTTGTGGAGTCGAGATATATTTAGGAATTGTAAAAAAACGAACCTCATTGCGCTTGGCCTCCTCTCTGTCGACAATGGCCTGCTTTGCCCTCTTTTCTTTTGCCTTCTCGCGGAGCTCTACGAGCTTCTGTTGCTTCTCTTCTTCGGTGAGAGGGGCAATTTCTTCAGTCGACTGTTCGAAGTTCTCATGTTGACTATGTAATCGTATTAGCAGATGCTCGTATGAAAAGCTATAGTTGGTAGATCTTACGTCTTCTCAGCGTGGAACTGGACCTGCATCATGGACCGGAACTTCTTGCCACAATCGGTGCAGACCATCGACTTAGCTTCTTCCCCATCCTTGAGTGGCGCTGGCTCGATGTTGGGATTCGTTTCGTCGGAATCTGGTGCTGCAGCAGCTTCTGCGGTTCGGATTTCCTCGATGCTTTTATCTTGGTTATCCTCGAGCCATTGTAAAGCTCCGTTCACTGTAGTAAATAGTCAGTATGCGGGCTCATATAAATCATGTACAAGGGATATGCAAGTTGGAATTTATACATACATCCGCCCGTCTTCTTGACTGCAATCTCGGCCTTTTCCTTGTCGAAACCCATGTCGAGCAGTTGTTGAAGATCACTTGGTGTAGACATCTTTACTTAGTATTCCGGGGTTGTTGGTTTATTGTAAGTTGATTGTGTGGAAGTTGTGTCTTTCTAAAGAGTCGAAAATATTATGTCGAGTATTATGATGACGAGATGCAAGAGCTCAGGGTTGTGCGGGATACAGTAATATAATGATGGGTGGGCCGTACTAGAAAGCACTAAATATGGGGTGAATGTAATCGATATCTAATTAATTGATTGATTAATTGACTGGAATTCTTTCAATGATCATAAAACGGCTTCCAAGCCAGGTAGAAATAAGGTATGGAATGGATTAGTTGAATGTTCTAGATATAACTTATATACACTTGATATCTATCTACCTAGCTATAGGTACTTCGTAGTCCGTACACCTATACGCCTCCACAACCCGGAATGTGACAGAATGCTCAAATAGCACAAAGGCTATAAAGGATAAAATTGATTGATTAGATATGGATCTTGGAATGACGTTAGATTTCCACCTACTCGTATAAACACACACATACACATATACGCGCACACTTCTCTGGATAGCTACCGAGTAGGTATATATATAATCCACTACAGGAGTTCATCGCCGAATAGTCCAGCTGTTCATCTCCGGTCAGTGTACTTATTACTCCCTCTCGAGTCTATGTACGTTCATTTGCCCACCTCACTTAGACTATCGATGGAAGACATTGGAAGTTGGATCGACAGGAATAGCAAAATTCATGAAAATAATGTGAAACCAGGTATAATAATGGTCAATCCTGTCAATCCAGTATAATCATAGGTCGCTGGTGGTAATCAAACTAATCAAATGATCATAATAATTCACCCCTTATATACATACACATATACATACTTACTTACTTACGACTCTAACTCATCTGTCCATCTACCCGTCTACCTATATGTATCGTATGTATCGTATGTATCATATGCATCATCATATGTATTGGCCGCAATAATCCCACAGGGAATGACAAACGACCACCCATCCATCACCTTCTTTGTCACTCTCGGACCCTCGTCATTACAGATCAACCACCTCGAGCGAAACACAACCCACCCCATCCTAATAAATAATTCCTCAACTTGCCAAATACAAATATTATTCTGGCTTAATCCCACAATTCCACAACCTCACAAACACTTTGAATACTTTGATCCAACAATACTAATACGCCCATCATGTCCGTCGAAATCGATTCGCAAGAGCTTGGCTTTCACCGTACGCTATCATAAATTATTCTACTCCGACGAAAGGAAAGACACGAGATGGGGAATTCTAACATGTGGCAGGTCCTTTTACCACAGAGGTGTCGCAAACATTGAGAATCAGAAATCCTAATCGTACTCCTGTCGGTTTCAAGGTAGGGAATTCCGCTGCTGTGTCGTTGGCCGTTCCAGAAATGCTAATGTGGTTTATTTTCAACAGGTCAAGACCACTGCGCCCAAACAGTTGGTTCTACTTCATCTCACACCTTCGAAATATCGTTCTAATACTTTGCGAACAGATACTGCGTGCGGCCAAACTCTGGTAAATTGGAGCCGGGAAGAAGCATAGATGTCACTGGTATGCGCCGATTAGGATGGCAAACAGTACGTGGCTCGGGCTAATCTTGCTGGCATAGTTCTCTTACAGGCAATGAAGGATGAGCCACCTCTCGATGCGAAGTGCAGAGATAAATTCTTAGTTCAGTCTGTTGAGATCACACCAGATAAGGAGTTTGTCGATTCGCCCTCAAACGTACAGTACCCACGATATATAATCTATAGGGACGTTCCCTCACACAAACTTACGCTAACTGTATTTCATACAGCATGTCGACCGAGCAGATAAGAAGGATATCCAAGAGAAAAAGATTCGAGTCGTTTTCCTCCCACCAAAGTCGACAGGAGTAGCAGCCAATACACCTTCGAGAAATGGTGTTAATGGAGGAAATAGTGCGGTATGTTCTAGTTCCTCGTGTACCAATCCCGAGGAAACGGAATTGACTAACACCAACATCTCTAGCTTTCAACCCCAGACACTGCCCCTCCAGCCTATCGATCAGTCTCTCCCGAAGAACACTTCACCCCTGCAGCAAATCGTGTTGTACCAGGAAACTCAGGCCCAGCCCCCTCCGTCAGTATCAATGACGAGCCAATTGGCACTCGCAACCTCGGCGACGCTCGCTCTTCTGCATTCAACCCCGCAGCTAGCAGCAGCAGAGAAAGTAATGCATCCGCAGTCACCGCCCCAACCGGAATGCCTACCTCCGTTGAAGAACTCCAAGCCCAGCTCATCGAAGCGAAGAAAACTATCGCATCCTACGCCGAACAAGGTGGTATGAGAATGAGAAAAGTGGCAAATGGGGAAACCTCAAATGAGACGGTCAATGAAATGGCTACCAAGTTGCAAGGTGTAGAAGGTGTACCTGTACAAATCGTCGCAGCTCTCTGTTTGCTTAGCTTCTTACTTGCATACCTGTTCTTTTAATCTAAAGTTGGGTGTGCTTGTTTGCTCGCATTCTGAATTTTGGGTTGTGGTTTCTGGCTTTGATGAGTTATAGCGCTGCACCCCTCTCTTCCATTATTGTATAAGAGGACAGACACGAAGCGAAATAATCAATATTGGGTGTCTTTCTGGTGCTCTCGGGTGCTGTTACTCTTAGGTACTGGTTTCTTGGGTTCTAGACCTCGTTCTTCTTCTTGCACTTTTGTGAAAGTATAGTTCAAGAGAAGATCCCTCTAATTTTACGACGATTCCTCCAAAACTTTATATTTCCTTGCTGTTGATTTTCTTTTCTTTCTCGATTTCCTCTCGCTACAGCTTTTGCATTACGAATGTACCACTTGTATTCTATTGCTTTTTTTTCCGACGAGTTCAGCCTTTTGACAAAGTTTACTTTTCCTTTACGTTTTCTTTCTTTTGTTGCGGTGTGTGGGGGCTTCTACATATGTGTTCGTCCAAAAAATATGGGTGAAGGAAAGAGAGATGAGGGAGAGACCAGAAGACCTTGATCTGGCTGGACTGGGCTGGGCTATGCTGGAATGAACTAAATCAGTAATATGGTATCGGATGTATGTAGCGAGAGAGCAAGTGGGCAATAAAATGCTGGAATCATCGCGAGTTACGTTTCATACATAGTAGGTAGTTGGTGAGGCAAGGTACAAAATCTCGGTTAAATTGTAAAAGACAATTGCAGAAGTGACAATTGATATCATGTGTACTGTGCATAACTATTTGAAGAAATGTATACACATGTTCGTCGAAAAATGCATTCTATAACTAATTTTATCTCATCTGATCTCATAATCATCTCATAATCGTATATACAAATTCAAATCAAGCATTATGTCCCTCCTTCCACTCGTAGAAGGAATCCTCTAAAACTCGAATCTCAGCCCATCTAACATCTAAAAGAAATAAAAGACGAAATCTAAGCCTGGATCTCCTGCTGAGTCCAACCTCCGACTTTTCTTCCTCCTTCCTTCCTCTTGACTCTACACGTCATTCCGACCTCCTTATCCCAAACAAATTGCCATATCACATAGATCCAACTCTCATGTCTGGGCAACTCTGCATAAAACTCCTTGGCTATCTCATGAAGCGCGGGTAAACGTGTCCAAGGAACAGCGGGGAAATCATGATGTTCATTATGGAGTCCGACATTGTAGGTGAAAAAGTTGAGAGGACCGTAATAAGAAAACGTCTCTGGGATTTCGACGCCGGTTTTTGGATCGCGGGCTGCGAGGGGCTGACGCTCGAAAACGTAGTGTTCGGCGATAAAGTGACCGGCGCAGGGGTGGAGGGAACCGGCCAAAAAGGCGGAGAGGATGAGGTAGTAGAGGGAGTTGTAAGAATTGGTTGATTTTACGAGGAGGATGTCGAAGACGACTTGCACGAGAATGTTGATGATGTGGATGGAGGTGAAGGGGACGGCGTAGACGAAGATGGGACGGATGGCGTAGAAGAGGATTTGGAAGGTGCAGAAGAAAGCTTTGCCGAGGAGGGAATCGAGGAACAGGGCTTCGAAGCGGGTGGGGAGATCGGTGTCGAGACCGTCGACGCCGAGGGATTTGTGGTGGGTGAGATGGTATGGCTGGGATTTGTTAGTTTTAGGGAAATCAGAAAGTTTAAGTAAATGTAAACGTACTCTAAAAGAAGCAGAATAAGGAATTCCAATAGGGAGGTTTGCGAAAATCGCCAGTGCCCGATTTAAGGTCGGGTTTCGAAATGCCAAATTGTGGGATATTTCGTGGATGGCGAGGAATAGATTTTGATTCGCGGTTGCGCCAATGATGTAGGCAGTGAGGAAGAATTTCCAGGAGAAGAAAGGTGTATTGCGGAGGAGGTAGGCGCAAAGGATTTGGATTGATACGACAAGGAGAACAACATATTTCGTGAGGGGCTCAGGCCCGCAAAGTTTGGTTACCTGTTGAGAGTGATTAGTATATATTCTTGATTGAGGGATGAGAATGGGAAATTGAGATAGATAAGTACCTCAGGATGAGCTTTGATAATAGCTAAACGTCTGCTTCGATGAGGTTCCTCGGTATAAGTCCAAAAGAAATCATGATCTTTCACATCGATCTCTTGTCGTGGAGGGGCATCTTCATTCTTTTCCGAAACATCTCCTGCTCCATTGGTTCTTAATCGTGGGGTGGGTGATCCCGAGGTTGTAATTGTCGAAGTAGCTACTGGCGGCATGATGAAGTAAATTGTTGTTATGCCACTCTGAACAACTTTTTTGAATAAGGAAGGTGGTGGCGTGGTGTTGTAGATAAAAGGTGTTTTGATCTGGAGACACTGGATAAATAATATTTACCGATCATTCGAGACTAGGTTGGTTTCGCTACCAGATTAGTTTCGTACCCTTTTCGAAGCTTGGTGGACTGTTCTTTTAGATCGATTTTCAGGGGTACCAGGGCTGCAAGCCTCAAGGGTGACAGTCGGGTGGACCGTGCTCTTAAAGTAAGACCCACTGATATTATTTATTATTTATTATTTATTATACGGCTCAGTAGGTGCTAACATGACTTCCCAGCTACATTTCGAGCTGTGTCTCGATCCATCTAAAAGTTGATCTGTGAGTTTATATCGTAGATTCAACTGCAATATCATGGAGCAAAATTGCTGCAAAGAATTGGTACCACATATTGCTCCCAGTTTGAATTACCCTGGTCCACCTCGTCATACTCCTTCCCCCTCTCACATTCTTTTCGCTTCCAAGAGAGATCCGTGATAGCATCTACCATTATGCGCTGGTATCAACATCACTTGTTGTTGTCTGGAAAGGCAAGCTGAAACACGAGATCTTGCCCATATACAAGGGGACACAACGAATTTAGTCGGGCGAGCCTACTTCACGTTTAATATGGCGAGCCGTTAGCCACGAGGAGACATCCACTAGCCTCTCTACTCTCACCACCGACCTCTTGTTCTGTAGCGAGGTGGTGAGCCATGAAGCAGCCATAGTTTTCTACAACAAGAATACATTTTCTTTCGAGGGAGACTATAATTGGGATCCTGTAGTTCATTGGCTGAAATTATTGGTCCTGACAATCGAAATTCTCTCGCATTTCTGAAGGTGTGTGGCAAAACCGCTGTGGAGAGCGTATCCACCATCCTTCGAAGTTTTCAAATGTAAGAAATCTACCTTAGGCATCCATACTTTGCCACCCCCATAGATGGTTTCAAATATGGCTGCGTCGACAATATCAACCCGATCGTGGAAGAAGTTTGTGTATTGTTAGGACAGCGCGCCTCTAACAAGAAAGCTGCTGTTATCATGCGAACTGGTAGATTTTATCCCGGTGGAGGAACCGATCCTGTTGAGCCGGATGAGCTATTACCAGAACACGGCTCGTACAGCATGGAGCTGCCAAACTTGACAGAAAAGTTTCTAGAGCTTCATTCCAGTCACTCTTTGAAGCATTCAGTGGAGGTGGTTTGGAAAGGATTGACATATAAACGTGCCCTCGAGACGGAATTCATGGAGAGTCTTGGGTGGGACACATCCACTTCGCCCGTAGAAAATGAAGAAGCACTTGCTATATTTGGTAAATGTCACAAAAAAGACGAGGGTTTCGCTAGGTACACACTGAAGAGAAAGAAACTCACAGGACCACTTATAACTCAGGATACTTCGCCCTATTCAAACATGTATGTATACTCACAGATCAATAGGGAGGATTATTTGTAGACACAGAAAAATCTTTGAAGTATCAATATACGACACTTGCTTAGTATAATAGTATAACTTCATCTATATCATCTGATAATAACTATACGAGTTTGTTATGGCTACTGAGTCAATTGCGGCGGCTGTGCAATTCACAACAACGCCAAGTGGTGGTATCCGCGACAAATGCCTCTACATCCTCAATGATCCTCAATGGTGTTTTCGTGAATTTGAGGATTTGCTAGGTATCTTGTCCCGTTTGGTATATTATATGCAGAATCTAAATCAACGAATTGATTCTTATGTAGGTAGTCATTAGCGAGTTTCTAATATCATATATTTTTAGACTATTGTCCTTGACAGTTGGGTTGAGAAAGGGGAGCGAGGCTTGGGAATGGCGAGACTTGATCTCTTCTTGATAAGCGAGAAAAGTAAGTATACTTTGGTTGAGGGGGTGAGGATGCCTTTTTATCTTATTCTATGGTAAGATCTTTTAGGAGGACTTGTAGTTCTAAAACTTGAAATTCCACTCAAAGTTGAACTTTCCCCCCCCAAGATACATAATTAAGGTCTATCTGTAACCTTTTACGTACTTTTGACAAAATTAACCAAATCACAACAGCTTTTGTCTTGACCTCAATATTCTTAAAATCGTAAGCCCCATCACAACACCAAGCTAGGTGTTTAGGTCACACTCGCTTAACCAAGAGATCTAGACTGATGGGCTTGTAAAACCGCGACAATTCAAGGTAGAATCTTCTACTAGTGGCGTGAAAGAATCCCAGGAACTGTTGCTTGGATATTACATGCACTTTATGAACATTCAACATATCAAATAGATTCGGACAGGAGATGTGGTCTAGTGGATAAGACATCTGACTCGAAGTTAAATCCTAGGGTAGGGAGGCCGAAGGCGCACCAGCGACTCGGGATGATTCCCTAAGATTTGCCGTGAGCTCATTTAACGGTAGCTCGAATCTATCCATCTCTATTTTCTTTCTCTCTCTTCTAGAACTGAATGTTGGTGTGGATTTAAGGATAGAAAGTGGAAGAATAAAGAAGGGGGTGAGGGGTAGAATGTGGAGGAGGAGGAGTTGAGAATGGGGATTGGGTGGCTACCGGTTTTGTTTGCCCTCGAAGGTAAGTTAACAGACCCATGGATGGAGTGCTTCATTCTTTCCCTTTCTCCTTTATTTTGGATATAAGCCATCAAGTTGTATAGGATTACACAAGCCAAGGATATGCATCAAAGGTGAAGGGGATGTGGTCCAGTGGTTAAGACATCTGACATATAGTTTGGGTCGGATGAGCCAGCGTAGTCTCTCGGGATGCTCGGGTCCTGACCCTGCTGTGAGTACAGGTGACGGCAGTTCGATTGTATCCATCTCTATTGTTATTTTTGATGATACTAAGGTGCCGAGCATTTGTATGTCTAAACAGATGATGGTTGATTTTTTGCTTCTGCGCTATTCAAGTCGAGGCTTCTAGACTTTTCACGAGAAAGTCAATATAAGTTGGAGATATGTCCAGTGGTAAAACACATGTCAATGTCATGAAGTGGGCTTTTCGAGCCAAGTTGCACGTCTTTCGGACAACTCATAAGTATGTGCTTTTCAAGCAACTCTTGTGAGTAGTGACTTCACCTTTAGAAGATGAGGCGGTTGTTCGATTCTATCCATCTCCATTTTTCTCTATTTATCTGCACAATGGATTTCATCTAAATGGGTTTGTTTAGTGTGTATGTATGTGTGTTTGGATGGGTATTTGACAATCGGAAATGTCCATCTGTTTCTTTCATTTCCTGGATCACGCGGGTCTTTCTCAAATTGTATGACGGGGTCGTCTAGTCACGTAATCTAATGCAGCATGTTGATATCAAACACCAAACAAAGATAGGTAGAAAGTATGGTTTAGGTAAAACGTATACTACATGCGAAGTGTGATGTGGAAACGAGACTGAAGCAAACTCATCGCAATTACCATGAGTGCATACAGCGATAGTCTAGTCATCTCCAGCTTCAGCAGCACTCTCAAACCAGTAGAGATTGTCTCATCTGTCCAGAGTTCAATTGCTCTGAAAAATCTCATGTTATTTAAAATACATCCTTGTGATCCGAAGATGTAAGGACGCATGCGTAGGTATGTATATTGTTGAGAAATAAACTGTGGGGCATTCCATATCAATTTGTAAATCAAACAATTCTAGACTTGAGAAAGATTCTCTACGATGGACTGCTATTTCATACAGTATATGTCATTTGACTATGCTTTCTCGGCTCTGTTTTATCTTCTTTTCGATTAGTCTCATCGCCGTCTCCATACTCTTGACTGTCAATGTTATCATTTCACGTCACTAAAAGAAAGCATACAAAAAATTTAAGCTCTCTCCAGATGAACCTACAAATGAGCATTACGTGTTTCTCGGGACACTGGACTAGATTGACTCAATTATTACCAAAGCTTATTAAGAATATTCAGACAGCCCACAGAAGTATAGTTCGAAAACAAAATAATTGCCTGGAGTATGATTGACTTCCCAAGCGTTTGAAGTTCAAGGAAGGTTTTTGAAGCTATTTACTTGTCTTGCGTAGCTGGGACATGGAGAGGGCTCTTCACTGACGACGAAAGAAATTAGATTATCAGAGAACTCTATTGTGAGCATGAAGGGGTATATTTCAGTCTTACTATGGCTGTATCTTAGGCATATTCTTTGGTGAACTACTCCTCTGTGTGCAATTATTTCATGTATTTGCTTGGAGAATATAAGATGAGCAGTAATAATATCAGCTGCTAAATGCGACTTCGATGGGTTAATCTGATCTGATTTTGCACAATTGCAGTTCTATTTTCGGTGCTTAAAATGAGCTATTCCTGCAACCTTTTCACCTCAACAATAAAGACAGCCTTAGAATTCCAATTCGTGTCGAGTCTAAATGAATCCATAAAGACCGAGATCTATCGAGTCATTCAAGAAGTCTCAAAAATGATTGGAAACATGCAAAACAGATCTTTATTTACTGGTTCACACTTCCATGATTTCTTCTTCAAGGGAGCGAAGATGACGGGGCTAGCTTCCCCTTTTATTATATGGGGCTGGGGTTCGGATAAACACCCCACTTAAGTTTCATCTTTCAGCAGACCAGGGATTATTTGACCCTTGAGTATATCGCGTCGTCATACGACTTTATTTCACAATATTTATGAGATGGTTCAGCGGATCAGGGATTGTTCAAAGGCTGGGGAACGGTTGGCTTTTGAAGAAGTTCATGGTTAGCAAAATCCTTTTGCTATGTGTGACAAAACACAACCCGTCCCGCTCATCCGGTCGTTTGGTACTCTCGGGAGATAAGTAGTAAGCTAGGCCCATGAAACAGTTCATAGATGTTGTGACGTGCTAAGATATGGATATTCATCTCGTGCGGTGTACGATTTGGTTCCAAAGTATAGTGCAGAAGGCAGTGCAAACTAGGCTGCGCACAAATTATCTGTATCTGTGGATTATTTGCGGATAATCCGCTCCACAGGTTATCCATCAGAGGTTTTACTTGCTCTACGGATTATCTATTGAAGCTTTAAAATTATTTGCTCTGTACAAATAATCTGCAGATTATCTGTAGATAATCCATTCACTCACAAATAGATGGATTATTTGTGGATATATGGGTTATCTATGAATAATTTGTGGATTATTTGTAAATAATTCATGGATATATAGATTCTCTAAAAAAAGCGGAGAATCTCCGCTTTTTTCGCTTAAAATATAAAGCTATTCCTAAATTAATTATAAAATTATACCAATATTATGAAAGATTATAAATAGTTATACAATATATAGATAGGTGGATATTCGCGGGTAATTTGTACCTGTCCCACAGGTTATCCATCCAGATTCTGAATTATCCGCTCTATAGACGGATTATCTGCGGATTATCTGTCGAGGCCATTATCCGCCCCGCGGGTACCCGTTGCGCAGCCTAGTGCAAACAGAAGTTGGCAGCAAGTAAAGGCTGTATATGATATTCTCTAGCAAAGTGGGAGAGAAATTTTGGATGGACTGAATTTGGGTTTCCAGTGGTATCCTCAGTAGATTGATGACTCGGAAGAGAAAGCACAATTTACTGCCACATCTCCGTCTTTCTATGTTCATTCATCTATAATCTCGTATGAAGCAGACACTGAAATACTACTTTCGCCTCTTTGACAATAGTAGCATATCTCAAAATCTTGTTGCAAGTGAAAACGGATCCAAACCCGAAAAGACATACTGCATCGACACGAGATCAATGTCAGCGCTAACGACCGCTAAGCCTCCTCATGCCCGCCTAAATATTTCAAGCTTAGCCAATGTCAGAACTCTCTTCAATGAAAGAAGTGCTATGTGAGAGCGGCGACTACTAATATAGGCTACTCGAGTCTTAGATTTCAAATTCATACACTTTCATCTCTTTTATAGTTCCAATCTACCTTGAACAAGCATCTCTTCAGCTGAAATAGTCACAAAATGGCGTACCCGAAGAATGTTGGAATTAAAGCCATGGAAATCTATGTCCCAGCACAGGTAATTTTCAAGCACTCCAACGAAAGTCACTTCACGATGCTGAATGAGAAAAGTGTCTGGATCAAACATTGTTTGAACAACATCAAGGTGTTTCGGCTGGCAAATATACCATTGGATTGGGCCTTCAGTATATGAACTTTTGTACCGATAGAGAGGGTAAGTTCGTACCATTGAAACCCATCGGCCAATCCAAGCATCATATGATTCTCACAAGGTTTTCCAGATGTCTGTTCTCTAGCTCTTACGGCTGTCTCTTCACTCCTCCGTAAATTCAACATCGACCCCAAATCAATTGGACGTCTTGAAGTCGGAACCGAATCACCCATCGATAAAGCCAAATCTGTCAAATCAGTTCTTACCACTCTTTTCGAGCCACATGGTAACACAAGTCTCGAAGGAATCGACACAACTCACGCCTGTTACGGTGGTACGAATGCCCTATTCAATGCGGTCAACTGGGTAGAGTCTCGGTCATGGGATGGTCGAGATGCCATTGTTGTTGCATCCGATATAGCTCTCTACAAAGAAGCCGCTTCTCGACCAACTGGAGGAGCTGGTTGTGTTGCTATGCTTGTTGGTCCAAATGCACTGTTGTCTCTCGAATCGGGTTTAAAAGGTGTCTACATGACTCATGCTTATGATTTCTACAAGCCGGATACCAAAGTCGAGTTTCCTATTGTGAACGGCCATGAATCTATTGGTTGTTACATCGGCGCTTTGGATGCATGTAGTCGAGTTTCCTATTGTGAACGGCCATGAATCTATTGGTTGTTACATCGGCGCTTTGGATGCATGTCACAAGAATCTTCGTGAGCGAATTGAGGCTAGAAGCAAACTCAACGGCAATGAGCTTGATAGCGTGCCCAAGAAAGTTCTCGAACTTTTCGATTACATGGCATTCCATACTCCAAACTGCAAATTAGTTTCTAAATCGTTCGGTTGACTCAAGTATAACGACTGTCTTTTATCGACTGATGATGCTGAATGGGAAGGTATTCCCGATGAACTCCGCAAGTTGAGCTATTCGGAATCTCTCAAAGATAAGACGCTAGAGAAGACTCTTATAGAAATCACAAAGGATGAGTTCAAGAAGCGTGTTGAGCCGTGCATTGCTGGGGCTTCTTTATGCGGTAACATGTACACAGGGAGTCTGTACTTCTCTCTCATGAGCTTGATAAACAACATAGATCTCAAAGCCGCAGAAGGCAAAACGATCGGCTTGTTCAGTGTGAGTAGATAGATTCACCATTTTTTTAACCTCCTAAAGATATTTTACTGACCCGAATCCACAATTTAGTTTGGAAGTGGAATTGCCAGCTCACTTTTTGGCATGAAGATTACCGGTGATCTCACCGACCTGGTCCAAAAAGTCAATTTGATGGATCGTCTCAAGCAAAGACACACCGCGACACCCGAAGAGTACGAAGAGGTGAGTTTTTAGTTTTCAGTCTGTTTGGATAATATGCTAACTTGACAAAAGGCTTGTACCCTCCGGAGGAACGCATACGGAGCTAAAGATTTCAGACCTCTTGGCGATGTAAACTCCCTGGTACCTGGAACATACTATTTGGAGAATGTGGACGATGTGTATAGAAGAACTTATGCCATAAAGAAGTGATGATCCAAGCAAGATTGTATCATGCTAGGTGATAGTACACGAAACGCTTGCATGAGAAAGATATAGGGTTGGAATATTCAATAAAAACCAGAAGACGAGATGGAAAGGCCTAACTAGTCAATATTATAACTAATAAGATTTGAAACGAAAGTTGCAACGTACAATGGGTCGGAGTTGCATTTGTAAATTGCAAAAGATTTATTGCAGAAGCTCTAAAAATGTGAAGAAAATGCTTCTGACTACTGTTTGAGCACTCTTCATAGTAACCGGGTGTGTGTTGCCACTTGGACAAGACAAAAAGCACTTATAATGATAATAGTAGAGACCACTAAAGTGGCTACCGATCATTTCGTCCTCAAGACCTTATAGTATGTAAAAGATAGGCTATTGGTAGTGCTTTCCCTCCCGTTGCGCAATAGAGCTCGAGCATCCGCTGTCTTCATCGTTCATATCCTTCTTCCTCTTGGCAATTGACAAAAAGAGACTCATCTTTCCAAAAAGCAAAAACATACAACAGTGGGGATCCGCTGGTGGTTACTTACGCAACTACTAATCAACCCATCTGAAGCTCGTGTATGGCAGAGCGGACGGGATGCCGAATTCTCCACGTTCCAGCGCAACACCAGCCGAAAACACCATTCCCGATTTAGGTTTTCTCATTACCGTACAGTACATACAATTATATCATTCCCAAACACGAATAATAGTAACGCGGACAATTGTAACTCGAGTTCAGCTCAGTTTCCTACTCTTGCTGTTTATCTACATGGGCCAAGGGGGTTTGATGATAGATACACATTCATTCGATATTCACGCCGCTGTTCTGGTTCGTTTATACACATTGCTATCAATTTCCGAGATATTCCTTTTCCTGGACAAGCCCTTGCTACTCTTCTCGTCGACCAATATCCGAAATTGACATTCAACTTTATAACATGTCTACTGCTCCTTGTTACCTGCGCGAGCGGCACTACCTAGTTTTAGAAAATGTTCCATCAGAAAAGTCATCTCAGCACCACGTTGAAATGTGTTGATTGACTTGATGAGCCCAACCATATCTGAGACAAGCAATCGACGCGTCGAATCTTGCAACACGGAGGTGCTGTTTGAATCTGTCGGGTCGTAGAACAACAGCGCAGAGCACCAGGGTCTAATAGCATCGAACTTTGCAACATCAGACTCACGGACACTTTCACCAAGAGTAAGTAATTTGGAAGTCAGTCCTCTATGTTCTAGAACATTTGGAATTAGTTTTGCTGCTGTATTCAACCACTCCCTAAATTCTAACCCAAGAGCCTCCGAGGTAGCGTCTTGTCTGAGTTGTTGGCTTGTTTCTCGGATATCGGCGAGGTATTCTTCATCCAGTTCTCGAGCGTTCGACTCGAATTGGTGTTCTACATCCAGTCGTCTAGCATTGGACTCGGCGAGGTATTCCTCATCCGAGTTCACCTCCACGTCAAGGTATGTTTCTATATGTCCTGATTCCTTGTAATTATTGTCAAGGTGCGAGTCTTCTCCGACATCCGATAGTTCTTTAGAGCTAGGCGAGAAAATACCGTGGCACACCGGCACAGGACTCGGTGTTACTGGAATAATAGCTTCCTCTATGCTGGGTGATTACTTTGTATCTATGTATGCGATCAATGGTGAACAGGGAACCTGCACTTCCGTCGGCCTCTGTGGATTATTGGCGGTGTATAGTGGCGGTGGTTGATCCTGAGGTTCCTTATGTTTAAAGTGCGTCCAGTTCACTAGTGTAATGCCTTGTTGAGAGTATATCTTCCTCATATCAGATTCACAAACCTCTACACTTGTATCATACAAGCACTCGCGAATTTCTTTCAAATGTTGTCGCGCATAATCGCTAGGTCTAATATATACCTTAAATTTCTTCATAAGAGATAAAGACTTAATCGCACGAATCAATTTGCTGGAGGTTTTATTGAAGGGGCAGATAGTTGTAGATTCCTTATCTTTTTGAACCACAAATCCCGCAAATCGAATGTCAAAATTTAAAACAATAATACGCTCTAAATTACTTATACCGGCTTCGTGAAGAGCAGATGCATCAAGAAGAGATAAATCATTAAGCTTCTGTATCGAAAGATCCTCTGAAGCATATTCAAAGTCACCTTGTGGTGGAACAACCAATAGCATATACATGTAATGACGCTTGCCGGAAATCCTGATGGCAACCTTAATTGAGAACTGTATATGAACATGTCGTTTAGATTCAGAATTGCAGACCACTTTCATAATAATGTCGACATTTTTTTTGTTGCCAGGCATGCAAGAACCTAGTGTCCAACAGTCGTCCTCATCAGCCCACTTTATATATACTCTCTCCGTAAGGAGATTCTCCAGCCCAAGTATTTCGATTGGAACCGCCATATTGTGCACTATAATTGTGATTAGCTATGAAGACGACAAAGAACAATTGTATTAGGAAGAATGATCCCACACTATGTGTGTATCCCACCCACCCAGGCTAAAAGAGAGCAGCCTTGACTCTTTGGCACCGAAAGTATCAGGGCGTCCCCAAGCGGCAGATACTGAGGAACCGTAACCACCGACTCGATGCAGACCGTGTCAGGGGGTCCCCAAGCAGCAAATACCGAGGAACCGTAACCACCGACCTTTGTACGAAGTATATAAAGACGTTAGAGGAATTATTGCACGAGAAAAATGTAGATATAATACTACAATGATCGATGTAGACGTAGATGATAGAAGTAAAAATAGAATAGATAGAATAGAGATGAAGAAATCACGCAGAAAGATTGACATCAACAATAGGTGGTTGGATTCGCTTGTATGTATTGTAGGCTACGTTCACCTATTTTCACCAAGAGGGTAGCAATTAGAGGACGTAGAGGCTACCGTAACCTATGTATAAACGCCCCACCCTGATAAGTAAAATCAACATCAGATTTAAAAATCGAAAAACTGGTGAACATTATTATGTTCAGTTTGGTAAATTGTTTTAGGGAAGGTGTAGGTTTCAATAGAACATAGAGATTGCCCAATTCTCTTCAGTCTATGGTCGTGTGTGATGGAGAGTAGTAAACTTTGAGTATGTAGCAATGAAAATCAACAGTGAGTCAATTCCTCTAGCATATTATACATACATACAACGTGGGTAAATTTGCTGCATCTCTTACAACTGAACCCGTAAACTACTTACGCAAGTACACAGATAGATCGTAGAGACTATGGTTAGGAAATACGAAACCGGACGTCGATTTTGTACATTATGCAATCCATCCCATCATGTACCAACTTTACAATTCGAAAGGTCATCCTCACAGCCCTGAACCCATTCGGGATGAGAAACCAGCAGATCATCCAAATAGCGAATGTCACAGATACTAATAACACACTGGCAGTGACAGTCTCCAACAATCCCACGATTTTTAATATGAACCAGAAGTCAAACATGTGCCAGACAACAGACCACCGCCAAGTACGCTCAAAACGTCGGCAAACGTTGCATAAAGAGTATAGTGTGCGCGACTTTTGAGAAGGACTGAAAGTCTTCCCCCAAAGATGACACTATGTTGGAAGGCTACGTACGAAGACCTGGTCTTAAGGACAACGATATAGCAAATATGCTGTCAACCGCCTAAGAAGCCAAGAGATTTCGCCCCCCACAAGCGCCTGGAAGACTTCATTTGACAAGAATTTGACAAAGAGTTAATATCGCTCAGTATCCAGGTAGTTCCATTCTAATTTGGGTGTAGAGGTTCATCTTTATGGCCACTCTGCAGGGTTGGGTTGGAGAAAGCCTTGCTTAGAAAACTGGGTGTTCATATTGAACAGAAGAGCGCAAAAAAAGTCTTCAGCAGATCTGAGCTTAAGGCTCTCCTCGGGTTGATGGGGAGGGCCAGTAGCCGACTTCGAATATTGAGGTGTTAATCAAGATGTCTGGCTCGTTGAATATCAGATAAATGTAGCAAATGTTGTCGATAGATGCAACAAATTAGCTATCAAAGTGTCCTGAGACTGCAAGACAAGTGATGTAGGAATTATTTTTGAGAAAATAGTGCAACCTAATTTCAATGATTCCGACATCAATTCCAACATCTGAACTGCGGTTGCAGCGACCATAAAAGCAGACCGAAATTCTAGAATGAACTCGCTTACGTAATCTCTACCAATCGCTACCCCAATTGGACAATTAGCGGTGCGGGCCATTTACGCGGGTCGCGTCCGCCTGCAGGCGCGTTTTGTCTCATTAGTATATCAATTGGCATGGAAGAACATCATAAGTTCCATTCTCACCCACACAGCACTCCATCATAATGTTCAGTATGTTGCAGACACCGGTGAGCGCACATAAGCAACTACGCCATTATACACCCCATGTACCATCGCCATTATCCTCATCACCTTTACGATCTTCTCCGCCCGTATCGCCTCTGGAGCCCCGCAACGCGAATTTACCAACGAGGATACAGCAGGCTGGAGATTGTCAAACTAGTTTCATGATGTCGCCTGAATCTGGTGCTTCCAAAACCTCAAGTCCTGATAAAAACCACTCGACTTCAAACAAACATTTGCCGAATAGAGATGGTGCATATTCGAAGAGAATAACGAAGACGAATCCGTTATTGCATGGACAAGGTGATGGAAGGGAGACACGGAGAAAGCTGTTCTTGAGAAGAGTTAGAGAAGATTCGGAGGATAAAAGATGGAAAGCCAGAGGCGGTGATGATGAGATGATGAGAACTATTTGGATTGCAGAGCAAAGGAGGCGAGCGGAAAGACAAGCTAGAGATGCGCAGGGCTGGGCGGTTGATGTCGATGAGCAGGATACGCAACTGGATTACGGCGCTGGAAATTTAAGTCTCGGTATGCTTATTCTATCTAAGACTCGATTCATGAATGAGTTTGCGGGAATTGGGTTAACAATGGTTGCAGATGAGGTCATGGCCGAGGAAGTGGCAAGGAACGAGGAAGAAGAAATAGAAGCTTTGTTATCATCTATGACCGAAGCCGAAAGAAGACAAACTCTGGATGAAGCATATGAGAATGTCTCGACACTCGACGAAGAAATTGGTCCAATTGATGACAAGGAAGCAGCTGCTTGGGCGCGAGGAGAATTCCAACATTTTTCAAACCAACATAGTATGACTGTGATGGATGTTGAGCGACATGTCAATAGTTCCTCGCCTGATACCCACTTTGGTAGCGACGATGGTGATTACGACGCCATTTTCATGGACGTTATACAACAGGAATCGTATATCTCGTATCAAGATAACCAATCCATGGATCTGTCAGGAGACCAGGAAATGATGGATACAGAAATGAGTTGAATGTGGCACATAATAGTACATACTGATACATACTGACAGGACATTGTTTATGATAAATTGGAGGGTTTTGCTGTTAGCGTTGGTGTTTCAAACGGCTAGGGCCTGGTCGGTGTTTTGGTATGATAAATGGATCGCACCAATTGATGTTTGATTTTGAGATTATTGGTCATGGTATCACTGGTTTGTTAATATACACGAGTTACTATCACTAAGATATGGGTATTTTATTGTGTTGGGCAGCCTTCTTCTGGAGCCCCAAAAGCTTCTTGCGCTGCAGCCATGTCTCCAACCAGATCTGCTGGTGGTGAGCCTGCTGCTTGCATCTGTAAATAGTTAGCAGCGCGCCGCGATATGATATGATAGCTGATACACACCTTTTGCATTCTTTCTACAATATACTCTCGATCCGAAGCATTCTCATCCTTGTAAGTCTTTTGCTCGAATCTTGCGACAATTTCCCTGACGAAAACTTGCTGTTCCTTATATCGCTTCAGATCATCTGCAGGAGTACTAGCAGAGTTCTTCTCTAACCACGCGGGGAATTTATCATCTAATTCCTTCATCGGTTCGTATAATATCTCCTTGTTAGTCAATTGCTCCATCATGCCCAATAGCATTTTCGAGAAATCCTCCTCACTGCCCTCTCCGTCCATACCACCAGCTCCCATAGCCTTCATCATCTCAGCTAGTAGATCGTCCGAGTTGTCCTCTGCTGCTGCTGCTGTTGCTTGATCCCCAGAAGCTTGCATTCTTTCCATCGTTTTCTTAATAGTTTCCTGGAATGTTTCCTCACTAGCTGAGCCCGGGGCGGCCTTGGTCTTCGAAGGTCCGGGTTTTGGCACAGATGGCGGTGGAGGTGCTGGTCCATTCTCCCCCAATCCACCCATCTCCTTCAGCATACTTTCAAACTGTGCTTGCATTTCCGGTGAAGTCTCGAGTTCTCCCATTAGTTCGGCCATGCCGGCTTGTAATTGCTTTGCGAAATCATCGTCAGTGAGTCCTTCACCGCCGCCGAGAAGAGGGTCGTCCACGACGGGTGGTTTCTCTGGGCCAGAGGTTGCTGTTGTGGAGGTTGGTGCTGGGGCTTTCGATTCTGGCTTCGCAGCGTTGAACTCATCCAGCATATCTAAGAATTCATCAGAATCTCATCTTCATATCTAGCATTAGATTGAATGATGTACCATCTAGATCATCTAAATCATCCTCGTCCGGATCTGGAACATCCTCCCACTCCACAGTAGCATCCCCAGCCTGTGTTTCAGAAACTGTACTTGATTCGCCGACCAAAGCTTTTGTCGAGGACTCTGCCAGTCCCGCGAGATCCCCAGGTTTCGACTCCATGTTTAATAGATGCTAGAGGAAACTCTATAAATCCTTTGCTGGGATCTTCGAAGGTGGGTATTCTTCTGCAGGCCGAAGTGAATACGGCCAGTATGTGGAAAGTGCGGGGTATGATTTGCGCCGGAAACGGTATTGTCTTGAAAATCTAATATTCGGCGACAACTTACACTTTATATAATCGAATATTGGGTTCTAAGAATTAAAATAGTCTTGCGACGTACATAAGGCATGAAGATCATGAGATGAGAAGACTAGGCCGAGGCTGTCACTTCTGATGTCGGGCATTGTTGATAGTGGGGGTCTTTCGAGCTAGTGAATTGTACTTCTTTCTTTTGCCTTGTCTGGACGCTTCATAAATTAACGAATCTTGAGCCTCGTAGCTAGCAACCACCAAACCTTTCCATAACAATTTATTCTTCTGCATTTGTAGCAATACAAGAAGTTGCATTAACTCTTTGGGCTTTTGGTCTTGATCAATAGCCAGTTTAACGAAGTATTCTCCAATCTCGAAATCTGAGTTGCGCTTTCCTGAACAAAATCCAGCCTCATCTTCAAAATGACGCTCTGTCTTAATCGTCTCACGGAGGAACGGTAAGCTTTGCACAGTTTGGAAGTCTAGGACGAAGTCTAATGGGATCTACAGTAAGCAATGGCGAAAGGACCATCCATTTGGGTTTTCTGCAAAGCCTATTCGCAACCCTGCTACGAACACTATTGATATGAAGATTTGGGACTGCGGCGTACCTGGCAAGGCCGGTACACTATGGGAGGGAGGTCTCTTCAAACTGAATATTATCTTTCCGGATGGTGAGTTGTTCTGATGTCATTTACGGTATAGTTGTGGATATGCGCTAATATACAGTCGATAGAATACCCAACCAAACCTCCAAAGTGTATGCGACTTCAAACCACTTCCATGTTTGGCCTATAACCAGGACTAACAGATAATCAGGCAAATTTACACCACCTCTCTTCCACCCCAACGTCTACCCCTCCGGCACAGTCTGTCTTTCGATCCTGAACGAGGAAGAAGGCTGGAAGCCCGCCATCACCATCAAGCAAATCCTCCTCGGCATCCAAGAACTCCTCGATACCCCCA